CTCTACCAACCTCGCGCTTCTTTCATTCACGGATACGATTAAACACTATATTGACTCAGGTAAATATGCTGGAGCAGTGTTTATTGACCTCACGAAAGCGTTCGATTCAATCCTTCATAAAATTTTAATTACCAAGCTAAACGCGGCCGGTGTTGTAGGACCTGCCCTGAACTTCATTCACAGCTACTTAACTGACAGAGAACAGGCTGTCAGCATATCCAATCATCTTTCTAATTTTAAAATAATCAATCGGGGAGTACCTCAAGGATCAATTCTAGGCCCAATACTCTTCACTGTTTACATTAATGATCTAACTTCTCACCTATCGCACTGTCTACCTTATCTGTATGCGGATGACACTACGATTTTAACTGCTTGCACCTCGATCGATACTGTTACTTTTAAACTAAACAGTGATCTTGAAAATATAATTCGCTGGTGTCGTCATAATTCACTGGAAATTAACCCTAGTAAAACAGTTTTTGTGCTATTTCACCCCACTCAAAAAAAGGTCACTGAATATCCGTCTATAACGGTCAATAATTATCCTATCAAAGCCTCCAGTCAGTGTAGATTTCTAGGAGTGATTCTTGATGCAAATTTAAAGTATACTTCCCATGTCTCACACCTAAAGCAAAAAGCAGCTTATGGCATCCGGATTCTCATCAAAGCACGTCCATACTTTGGGCCAAATACCTTGCTTTCTCTTTACTATGCCTTCGTTCACAGTCACTTCACTTACTGCATTGCATCCTGGTGCAATACATATAGCACTCATCTTGCTCCTTTGCAATATGTTCAAAACCAGGCCATTCGCATTATCACATATCAACCATCACGATGTAGCGCATCTGCTATTTTACAAGGGCTTCGTATTCTAACAATTCATAAACTTTTTCTTTTCAACATGGCAACCCTTACATACAATTCTCTTCACTCAAACATGCCTTTCATGGTCTTCAATAAAGAACAACTCATTAATCAAAATATAACTCGATTTGCATCAAATAATAACCTCCTGTTACCGAAAGTTAGAACTAACTATGGCAGATTCACTTCTACCTTTACAGCTATTTCCGTTTGGAACGGTATTCCAAGTGACGTAAAAATGTCTCCAAACATAGGCAGTTTTAAAAAACGCTTAAATTCCTATTTACTTAATGTTTAAATAATCTCGTTGTTTATGCTGTTCAATTCGGAACTAATCGTTCATTATGTTTGCTCTGTTTTGTACCAAATTAGATGAATAACATGTGTCTGGCATTGTTGCCGCTTTGAGACATACCGCTTTTAACTTTTCTTTTTTTTACCTATTACTACTCAGCACATGTGATATTTGTATCGATCGTTTATCATCTAACATGCACTTAGGTGTATATACAATTCAAGTTTCATTTCTTCTGCTGCCAGGTGTTATTGATCATTTGCTGATGGATTTCATCTGCTATCAAGTGTTTCGATTTGACAATAATTGACTGTTTGTTTCTTTTGCAATGAAATGTACTTGATTCCTTTAAACTTATTCTATTGTTTACCGAGTTGCTTTACATGTTTTGTTTCTTTATGTAACTAGCACAGGAGGTCCCCTTGCAGCCTAGAGCTTTGGGACCTCCTTCTGTATAACTTTTTTCCTATGTATTATCTTTTATTGAATAATAAAATATTATCTATCTATCTATCTATCTATCTATCTCGCACAGAAATGTCAGCCACGGCACCAGTAACTACAAAATTTAGACAGTAGACATTCGAAACTGTGCTATACTTCGAATGGACTTACACTAGAAACTTAAGGACCTGGCCACTCTTTTTGACGTTTCACGTAAACGCACGCATCAAGTTCAGAAGGCCGTCATGATGAACAATGCGAAATGCAGCCGTGCTATGAGCTATGGATGCTCCACAAATTCCAAGAAGCAGTCTCTTCTTTTCCCGGAGCCTTTTGGCAAACCTCAGCCCCTTGGCGTTTGCCGAGACGTAAACATTATTGTCTGCTCTTCCTACACAATACACGTTTGCCTGCTTGCAAATACGTGCACTTGCCGCTGTTTCTCCTCCCATGGTGAGAAGGAGCACTCTGCCAGGAGGAGAGACAAGCTAACAAATGGAGCATAGTGAAGGAAAAAACAAAACGAGCGAGGGTCTCTTGCATAATCAAATGCACCTAACTGGGCTGTTACAGCCCTTATTTTGAAAAATTCTTACAGCTACGAGTTCTTTGTATACTTGTGCACAACTGCAACCTCGCAATTAATTTTTGACTGCAGTGTGGTTTAAGGATCGTTTAAGGCTGGAGAAAGGTGCTATTGCAGAAGCAATTAAACTTCAGTAAGTATTATCCACAAAGTGATCTTAAAGGGGTACTGAAACCTTCTTTTGGGAGGCAAGTTTGCTCTGCATACAAATCTCCTGTATACAGAGGTAGCTCAGAGCAAGTGTGATGCACAGCAAATGTTGATTATTTATTTTGATATTAAAGTCAATTTACCGACAGTAACTTGACACCAGGCTACAGTACTAATCCTGGTGACTTCGTGCAGCAGTCTGGCTAGTTGTGATGACGTCAAGCACCAAAAAACAAATGGCACTTTGCATGCACGTCGCCCTCTCAATCTTCTGCTTGTGCCGGGCAGTCATCCGGTCATTTTCATGCAGCGTACCTGTGAAACGAGCTAGCGGAGTCTGGAATAGTGCACGTGCACACGAATAGAAGATATACGCTCATCAGAGTGCAAAGGAATCGTTTGATTTCTAATTTGTAGTCATGGCCCCAATATTTTTGCCCCGTGAACATTTGCACTAGTAAAACGGGGGACAAGTACCAATAAGTGCAAGTTTCACGGATACCCATCTGTAAGGAAAGGACTTAAAGACGCCGAGGAACGTCAAACCAAAACTGAAGAAGACGAGCGGAGGGCAGGTGGCACGAAGGCGACAACAAGAAATGACGAAGAAGAGAAGAAGAAGGCACGTGCGATTACGAGGCAACTGTGCGCCAATCAGCTGATGACCAGTGGTGGCCCATAGAGGTGGCGTGCCACGATTGGGCCACGTGCGACCATTACGTGGCAGTAGGCTGTGTGGCTGGGGACGAGCCGGAGCAGCGGCAGACGGGAGACAGCGGGCTGAAGCGTCAGACGCAGGCGGTCCAGGTTCGGGCCAGGGAACGCGGCTGTCCACGCTACTGTCGTCCAACTACCAGCTGGGGCGGCATTGCCGGCACGAGTACTGCATCTCGGGGCGCAGCCTGGCCTGCTGTTCTCTTCCTTGCCGAGGGCATCGCGGATCTCGGGGAGGCATCTCCGCGGTCAGCCGTTCAACACAGCGATGAACGTGGCCTGGCTAATGGTCACGGTTGCGTCGAGCATCGCGTCTCGGCGCACGCTCTTCGCTGGACGGGCTGGCCATTCCCCGCATGGAGCATCGCGTCTCCGATGCGGGTTGACTGCTCAGTAGTCGCACTCATGCCATCAAGCGCCGGTGTCACCAGAGTGTCGCACATCGGCAAGGGACGAGCAAAACGTTTTGCCGGGCGAGACGCGGGCGTGTGTACGGAGGACCACGGAGCCGGGCGAGGATCAGGGTGGCCGAGGATCCAGGTGCCAGGGGAGTTCTGGCTGAATCGAGGATCGCCGAGCGGTGCCGAGCCGTACCGAGCGACGCGCCAGACTCGGACGTGGGCCGCGAGCTCATGAGCTGCAGTGTGCACCCGAGGGTACCTGGCGGTGCCCTGGCCAAGAAGAAGGAACGTGCGAAAGAGAGCTCGAGGGTGGAGGCCACGAAGGCAGACGAAGCGGTGCGCCGCTCGAGAGGACGAGTTCCTGGCAGCGTTCCTGAGCCGGACGTGGGACCCGTATGTGTCCGCCAGGTCGAGCTCCGGTGTGTCGGTTCGAGGTCGAGTCCGTCGGCCTGTACAAGGTCCAAGGACGGGGCCTGCTGAATGGCTCCTGCCTGGGTGCAGTGGCCGCGAGCAGGTTCGTGGGCGAGGCCTACCGAAGTGGTCCTCGTGAGCCGTGGCCTGATCCTGGACCTCGGCAGTTGCGACCCAGGCTGCAGGGTTGGTCGCGACGTCCGATTCAACGGCGCTGCACACGGTAGCGCATCCGTGTGCGGTCAGCCGTTCCAGCCGTGCCACCTTTGCCCTTGCGCACGTCGACGACCGCATCATGTCGGGACGACGGGGACCCAAACTGCGACGTTCCCATTCCTGGACCAGGAAGTGCACAACACCGAGAAGAATAAGGTGTGCCTGTACAAGTAGGTGTTTCCGCCGCACCTGCCGCACCCGACGCTGGTGCTGTTCATACCATGTCGTGACGTCAGGGTACAATTGGAACCGAAACTAGCTTTTAAAGGCATGCTGTAAATGATTTTTTCAGAGCGCACTCATGCTTACCGGTGAATTTCTTACGCTCTCGGGGGCTTGGCCTATTATTTGACGCAACAAAAGGGTACATTTGCTACGCTCTTGAGGTTTGACCTATTATTTGACGCAAGAAAAAAAAAAACGGTACATTTCCTAAGCTCTTGAGGGATTGGGCTATCATTTGACGCAAAAAAAAATAGTAAGTGGGAAATTTCATATCAGTACCCTTTGAAAATCAGTACCCTTTGAAAATGCAAGCCAAGAATAAGATGTTTTGTAATTAGAAAACTACAAAGATAATGGAAACACAGCACCGCGAGCACTATGCGAATTTATACCCACTAGCTTAGACTTATGCCAAATGCATTTTAGCACTAAACAGGTACAGATGCTAAAATTTTACAACAGGCTTTTTCTGATGGGAACCTGTGAAGCTACAACTATGTCATTTTAACCTAGCCAGCCTTACCCTTCGATATAACAATGCTTTCACAAAGTGAGTGAAAAGGACTAGGCTAATTATATCGACCTTCAAGACGATAAAACAAAGATAGAATTCAATACAGAAACAAGTACTTGTGAGTGTTCAAGCATCAGTGCACAAAAGAAACCCAAATTCAGACAAGATGCTCACCTTCTACAACTTTGGAGAGGGACTCTAAGAGGACTGTATAGCGCTCGATTGGCTTGTGCAGGCGCGTCCACATTGGGTAGTGCACTTCAGGCTCGCAGCCACCACCTGAGAGTTTCGAATTCACAAGTTCATTCAACGCAAACAACTAAGCATCATGTACATCACAAATGAATGTGTTTGTAGGAAGTTGGTGATTGATTTGCAGGGTTTAACGTTCCAAAGCCACCATATGATTATGAGAGCTGGTACACTGCATTTGAAAATGGAGCTCATGCAGTGCAGATATACAGAGACGAGACGAACAGATGTAGATTGGAGTTAAGTCAGTACGCAGCACCACTTCACACTGTGCCAGTGAACATTGTGTCAGCTCATAGTATACTAGACCATGCCGTACTAGTCGATATCGTGCAAGTCCACATGCACCAGTCCATGTTGTTTCTGTGTTCCTTATTACCAACTAGCTTGTGAGCAGATCTCTCTGGATGATTGCAATATACCGAAGACGTACCTTTTGTTTTTGCTAGCTGAGCGACATTCTGTGTTCGGGTGTCAATGATGAAGCCCTTCTTTCCACCCATCAGCACGGACTTGAGTAGCTCCTCGTCTCCATTGCAACGCCTCATTGTTGTTCCAACTAACGGCTGACTGCACCTCATCAGCGCCGTCTGCAGGGAAAAAATGAGAAAAGATTAAAGTAATAATGATTGTAGGAGGTTAACGTCCCAAAGAACACCATATGATTATGAGAGACACCGCAGTGAAGGGTTTCGGAAATTTCGACCACCAAGGTGGGGTACTTTAATGTACAACTAAATCAAAACACACGAAACTCATGCATTTTCGCCTCCATCGAAAATGCACCCGCCATGGCTGGGATTCGATCCCGCGACTTGCAGCTGAGCAGCCAACTACCTTAGTCACCACACCACCGTAACAAGTAATGAGAAGAAATCAAGACCATAAAATTTATGCAGACAGTTGAAACATGCTTGTCAAGCTCATCACCATCTTTAAAGGGCCACTCACCAGGCCCCGTACCGAATTTTAGTTAGACAGTAGAAGTTGTTGGGTGTCCGATGAGGAACATCTTGCCACAAAAATTTTTCGAATCGGTTCATCACGAGCTGAGAAAACAGGTTTTTTGAAGCAGCGCGAAACAAGAATGAGAAGAGGCGAGCCCGAAACCCTTGCCGCTCCTCCACGTGGCCTTCGCAAGCCAAAGCTCTTTCCCACCCTTTCCGGCATCCGAACAAGAGGTGACGTGCGCACGACGTGCCCAAACAAGTCCAACCCACGAGCACGCGAGCAGTGTTGCTTTGTTGACCACCGTTATTTTGTGGTCTTCAGCCTGTTTCTGCGGGATGGTTTGGAAACGCTGGCTTAGACACGGTAGAGTAGATGAGCACAACGAGTGCGCGAACGCGTAGGAGCGTTCTACGGCGGTCGTCTGCTCAATGCGCTGACCACGGGGACACGAACGCATGCGAAACGCTGGCACAGTAGCCCCGCATCTCGTAGCATTTCACGAAAAAAATGAAAGAAAAAGCGCACAATTTTTTATTGCCTCTCAATATTTATTTCAAGTTTTATTAATCTCTTAAAGCAACAAATACATAAACTACGCATGTTGTGTTAAATAATTTTTTCCATGTGACGTGGGATACTGCTGACAACGTCGGAGCAGAGTCATCTACGTAGATGACCAACGTCATTACATTGCCGTGTACGTAAGGCCATTCATACGTCCACGTCATGCCCTCATTCTATAGGCGTGCGCCGGCAGAGGGGAGGGGGAGCAGCGCTCATCTTGAAATTTGACCCATTTCCGCGGCGCGCAGCGTTGCAAATTTTGGCAGACGTGATCATGAACGCCTCAGTCTACGAATTGCGCTTGTCAGCTCAAAATTGTCAAACCTGGTGAGTGGCCCTTTGAATCTCTTAATAAAAGCTTTAAAGGAGCACTGACACAAAATTTCGAAGACAAGTCGATGAGTGAGATAGATTCAGCAAGAGACATACACAGAATCTACGAAATATCAAGGGCAAATATAGCCTTTAAAATTACATTAAAATTAATTTTAAAGTGTATGTCGCGCAACTGAGCTAGATGCAGAACCCCTGGCAACGTCGATGTCAACATGGCGGTTACGTAAACAAACCTACGTCACAAATTTGTGTTGGCTGTTTGCTTGGCACGTGCCTTGCAGTTGTGTTACTAGCCTTTTATATTACCTTGTCTGTCCGGTTTTCCCGGGTCCCGAACTGTGCTGGCCTGTTCAGTGCAGCACCCATTCTACACACATTCGAGTGCCGGCCCCAGCGTTACAATTTGTCGCGTGGTCGTGGCTACTGTGGTTCACCACCTTGTATCTTGAAATGCTCCTGCTAACTGGCGTGATTGAAACCAAACTGCACGGTCCCCATCTAAAAATTTCTCTAAATGAATAATCATAGTGCACTAAAGCAAACGAAGGCAGCAGCAGTAATAAGGGGGTCATAAGCTGCCTCTTGCAGCAAAAAAAAGAAAAAGCCCAAAAACGTTTGTGCCAGTGCTCCTTTATGAGAACTTGGTTCATTTGTGGCTAAAACTACTCTTGTGGCTTATGAAGAGCCAGCCTTGCAGAGTACATATTTTGTCATTGTCACCAGTATTTCTTAGTAGCCGAATGCGTAAAACCGGTTTGCATTTACCACTGAAAGCAAAAAGTGGCAGTCTTGGTATCGGGCCAGTGCATAGCTTGTAGCCTAATGTCCTAAATCCAAGACTGTTTACGAACATTTTTTTTCTGTTCTCGTTAAACTTTCCCTCACTACACAATGCCTCTTTGTTTCTTGGTAACTAAGATTGCATGAGACATAGCGCTGTATGTAGTGAATGTTTTTCTGAAAAGGCCAAGCTACATTAAATCTCTATTGCCCTGGTAATTGCACAAATGCCAAGCAACGTGGACACGTAACTGATTGAATAACGTTCACAAACGCAATACGTGAGGCAAGCAGTGCAAAGGCACCTCGAACCAACTTGTGAAGCTTTTTAGCCTGCACTGCCGTGGAGAAGCTTCATATCACGTACTGGCACTTACGAAGTAACCAATTCACTATGGCAAAAACCAGATGTTGTTCTTCTGAAAGGTATATGCGTATCCTAGTTTTAGCAGTGCAACATGCATGCCACTAACCTTTGCTTTTTTGTGAAAATAGCTCAGCACTGGAAAACGACCCATCTGCCTGAAAGAAGCTGAAGCAACCAGAACACTGTCTTCAACCTTCTTTGGCACGATCACTTGTTCAGGATAGGTTGGACAGACCTGTCAAAAACCTTGCAAAAAGGAAAAGAAAGGAATAATGGTATACAAAGCAGGCTTAAGTACATAACAAGTCAGTTTCAATATGAGCCACGTGATCCAAACATGCCTTCAAGCGCAACATGGACCGTGTAAACATTAATTTAGCAAAGTTAATTTGTACAATATATTTGCTTCTTAAGACAAGAACACCCCGTTTTGCATCCCAGTATCCACAAGTATATATATTTTGGTGCAGTGCACATAGGTGGCTGCTTTTGTGTCTTTATGCTGAAACATACACACTTTGAAATGTTTTCTCATTTCTGTATTCTGTTCAATCGGTAGGTATGTTTGTCTAAACCTATGCCTCTATTTCATCATCTGCGATGTGCTCTGGTTAACAGCTGCCTTTCAAGTCAAATGGCACCTGTCCAACTTCTTTACAACGCTTTGGAGTTATTGTAACAGTTTAATTTGTAAGTAAATCCCTTGTTGTAAGTGACACCACACTAGGTAGTGTCAAATTACTTTTCGGTTACCTGGGTTTCCTCATCATGAATCCTAAGTATAGCAAATGAAGGTTTATGCATTCTGCTCCCATTTGAATGTGGCCTGTGCACACACGCCGCTATTTGAGTGCATGACATTGTGCTTATCAACAAAATTGCATAATCAGTTGTTAGATAAGTGTTTTCTATAAATCAGCATGACCAACACACTAAAGTAGTTATGTTCTAGTAACAGTGGGACAACTTCAGGAAGAGACAAAAAGGACAGGAAAGAGCGCTGACTGTCAACAGTCAGCGCTTTTTTCTGTCCTTTTTGTCTTTTCCTGAAGTTGTTACGCTGTTACTAGAACATAACCACGATGAACCAACTCGCCCAAATAAACTCGTTACACTAAAGCAGCTTCCTGTAACTAACATTTATGCATTCGGGTATTTATTCATTTGGTAACATATATCATTCAATATTTTTTAAAATAAAAATCTAAGGAGACTAATTTTGAAGAACTCCTATGTAACTGGTCAGGATACGTTTCTGAACGTGATACACCCCGAAATTCTCACCGAGAAATCATGGTTCACAGATGATATTCTCCAATCGTCCGAGACCAGCTTTATTTTGGCAAAGTCTTGCTCAGTTGCGAACGCTGACCAGCCATCCTCCATTATCACAAAAGCCGGATTGTAAAAGAATGGATGAAACCACTTCGGGTTATCTGAGGAGGAGACACGGGAGGCACAAGATGTCACAGTTAGACTGCTGACAAATCTTAAAGGCAACAGTCAGCACACCAGCAGAACACACCCGCAGCAGTCACATTACCTAACGCAGAAAGGCATTCGATGGTGTCTGCAACATTGTTGCACGCTTCAACGCCGGTGATATCGAGCTGAATTATCCTGAAGTCTTTGCATTTCAAGAACAGTGTTCCCGACAGGGCCCCAATCCGTCGTTCAACCGTGTCAACCATCCTGTGCAGCAACTGAAAAATAGCAAAAGAAGTTCCCGGAGTAAAACGATGTCACACTCGGCGGAAACGGGAGCAGGTCGGTGCGGGTACGTGTTTTTCAGTACACTGTACAAGTGTGAGAGCAAAATATCAAACTGGCCAAATGTCAGCTGCTTCTGTATCTATCTAGCTGATTTCTCTTTGTCAGATCGCTCCTCTGAAGTCATCAAGAGCGAAGTTTCGCGCATGATACCGTCAGATTATAATGTACTAGTGCAGTGTGTGACATTAGCAACGCATCACAGCATCTCGTAGTTTGAGCTGCTGCACCTGTCACATTTATGTCAATTTTGTCATGACATCTGTTTCACGAAACAGATACGCACCCATAGCTCCTTATCGTCATCTGTGCGCGACGAGAAGATAGAATGATGACTCGACAGAGATAGCGTCCCCGAAAAGCTTGTGCAGAGTGGTGCGTGCAGAACTACACGGTCAACTTTGGTGATCTTGATCAGTTCTGCAAACTCCATTTTCTTCCGCTTCGATCTGGGAGTAGAAAGGTCAGCATGTAGTTCCACAGTACAGCATGTAGTTCTGTTTGACGTACGAAAATAAACTCAAGCGTTAAAGCGAACACCTGACGAAATGATTCAATAGTGGAGTGACATGTGGATTCTGAAACGACCAGTTGAAAAAAATAAACGTGAAGAAACATCTGTGACGCCCACTAGCAACCGGCAAGAACTTTGCTACACCCTTTGCCATCACGCTGTACGTTCGTAACAAAGTTGATCACTTACCGAGGCGCTGGTATGTCTTAAACAGGCATTTCCGAAAGATTCGGCTGTTCACATCAAACCTATTAGCAGTGCTACGACGAACATAACTGCACATACGACAGGCCGCGCGATCTACTGCAGTCATCCGCGTTTGGCTCAATTTGTGGCTTCTTCGACGACTATGGATTCTGCTCGTACGTACCTGCAAGCGACTCATTTTAGTTTCAGAACCGGAACCGAAACTTTTTTGCCCTAACTTTGATTTAGGTAAATACAAAGCAATTGCTATTCGTTTGAGCCCTTCAAGTCAATATTGGTTAAGTTGACAAATTATCGCTTGAATAAACAATTATTAGTTTGAAATACACGATGTTTTAGTTCCGTTACAAGGCAGTGCGCTGAGGCGGTTCGCGTAACTCACCGTAGGCATTCGTAGTTCATGAAGTTTACTTTGCAAACTTCACTTCGAAACGCGCGCGCGCGCGCGCGCGCGCGCACGCACGCACGCACGCACGCACACACACACACACACACACACACACACACACACACACACACACACACACACACACACACACACACACACACACACACACACACACACACACACACACACACACACACACACACACACACACACACACACACACACACAAGCCCCGCCGCGGTTGTCTAGTGGCTAAGGTACTCGGCTGCTGACCCGCAGGTCGCGGGTTCGTATCCCGGCTGCGGCGGCTGGATTTCCTATGGAGGCGGAAATGTTGTAGGCCCGTGTGCTCAGATTTGGGTGCACGTAAAGAACCCCAGGTGGTCGAAATTTCCGGAGCCCTCCACTACGGCGTCTCTCATAATCATACGGTGGTTTTGGGACGTTAAACCCCACATATCAATCACACACACACACACACACACACACACACACACACACACACACACACACACACACACACACACACACACACACACACACACACACACACACACACACACACACACACACACGTCATGAAGGGAAAGTAACAGCTACTATACATAATCTAAGTGCGTTCATAATTGTCTTGTTCTTCAAGAGGTAACTCGCACATTATTTCAAGAAAGCGCTTTATCTTACGTGCATCATGCACCTTTCGCGCGTCCCCGTGTAAGTACATAAGCCAGTGCACACAAGCAGTAATATGCATGCATCCCTTCAGCAAGGTTGGTTACGACCACGGTGTTAGAAGTGGTGACGACTCGCTTGCTGGATTCCGCGCTGAACCCTAGTAGCTGAACGGTTGTGTTCTCCGTGATCTCCGACGTCACCGTACCTCTCGCCGATCGGTCCGCCTTCCGCTATTTTCCGGCGCCGTGTTGCTCTCGCCGATCGGTGCCCCGTCCTCGAACTCCTTCGACCTTGTCCCCTATCTTTCCTACCTCGTCTCCCCTCTTTCTACGCTCATGTGCGACGAGTGCTCCGTCTTCCTTATCTTTCTCTTTCCACTATTACTTTTATTCCCTTCCCCCGCTCCTACCGGTAGATTGGCCGTGTCACCAATTAGGCAGACAGAAATTAGCCCTTTTTTTCTTTCCTGTAAGAACCACTTACTACTACGTTGGTTGCGCATCTGGTATACCTGTTGTGTGTATTTATTTTGAATATATCAGAAGAGATTGGTGATGAAGTCACAAGAGTACGTATATAACGTACATATATACGTTTGATAACTCTTGGTGCGCATGATAACTCAGCTTGGATAGAAACGCAGCCTACAACAATACAAAACACTAGCATAGCTTTGGTTTCTCAAGCCACATCACGCACTTTCAAGGGTGGCATGATGTCGGAAAACTCGTCGGGATTATTACCATGTGTACAAACTTGTGAATACGCCGCCACAACATAGGTTTTTGAAGCTATCGAAGCTGAGCCTACCGATGCGCCCCATTTCTTGGGTATTAATTTCACTGCCATGGCTCCAGAACGTGGTGGTGCATTCACTTAGCCTTGTCACGTTTGCAGCCAAACGCAACGTGTATATGTGAAGATCTCCTTCCAGAGGCGGGTGACAGCACGGCGACACTGACACGAGCTGCTACAGCGCGAGCGCCCGTATAATCGAAAAGCGAATATAGAAACGAATGAAATGTTACTCTGTTCCAACATTCCGTCCTTTATAATCATCTGTACTTCTGTAAAACTAAATCAAACGGGTTAATGTTAATTATTGGGCTTTGAAATGCCGAGTGCACTATTTATTAGAAGAAACACGCCGTAAAGCTGAGATTTAAAGATTACTTTTGACCCCCTGAGAGTTATTTCACATGCACCTAAGTCTAGGCGCACAGGCGTTTTTGCAGTTCCGGCCGGGAATCGAATTAGTGCCCTGAGCTTATAACAGCCTGACAGCTTATTAAGCTACCATGGCGGGTAATGAAAACGCAGTTTAATATCAGTATGCCATTCTGTTGAATATTTAGTATACCAAAATACATAACCAAAGCTCACGTTTTCCAAGTACAACAACAATACCAGTAAATTATTTCTTCTGACTACAATACACTACGCCAGCAAGAACTTCGTTCAATGATCTTCGACCCAAAAGTTTACCTCAAGTTAATTTTTGGTTATGCAGTGGCTGCGAAGAATCACGGAGAAGGGAATCGGTGACATTATTAAAACAATATATGAGGTTATTCCCACACACGCAGCCCACAGTTTTAATACATGAAGCTTCATCCGCCCCACCCACCCTGTGCATGCACATGGAAATGGTTAGAACGTGCGCTAGACCAGCTGTACTCGGAATTTGGCATCGGAAGCACTTACTTGATGGGACTTGGTTTGGTCTTCGGAGACTTCGAGTAAGACACGGACCCATCCCTACATAGATCGAAGCATAATAATCGAACCGCTCGTTGCATTAGCTGTTCTTGGAAAGACGAAGCGACCTAGTGCGGTAGTGCATTTCAAGTCACATCTCCAGTTATTTTTGGAACTAACACAAGAAATAGTTGGGCCGCACACCATCGAGCGTCGCCTGACACAATCGGATTAAGAAAGCAGTGGTAGGAAATTTCTGAAATGTTCGCGTAGCGACGGACGAGGACGCACCTGCTGATCGAAGTAGATTCCGTGCTCTGGCCGTCCATGGTCGCAGAACGATGTGTCGCAGGCGCAAATAACAGCACAATTCAAAACGCAGTGCCAAGTGGGAACGCTGAAGCGCGACACGGCGTCGCTTTACGGCACGCGTTTACAACACGTGATTGAAATACGGCGTTCGCGTGACCCGCGGCACCTGCACGCCCTCTTCAGCGTTCTCTTTCTCTTCTTTTTTTACTGCCAAGCCACAGAGTAGCATGGCCAGGCTGCTTCGAAGATGCGGGCGCCGTGTACCTGCGCAAGGCGGTTTTTATGTTCGCTGCGATTTTTCCTTTTTTTTTTGCTTTCGCAAGAGGCTTTCTATTCATGGATGACAATGACGCAACTCACGATTGCGCATCTGCCACATATAGAACACAAAACATCTTGTTTCACCGCGTTCGGAATAAAATAAACGATCCAAACTGCGCCCGCGAGCCAGGCCATTGTTTAGCCACGCATGTGACCTTCATTGTGAAAACCCACGCAAGTTTACCAGCAAGCACAAGAGTCTCACAAAACTAAGAAAAATTGGATTTTTTTTCAAACTTCAGTACTGTTTAGGTGGAGGTAAAGGCTTTGTCTTTCGGGGTGCCAGAATATGACCGGTAGGGTGGGCGTGAGAGTGTGAGAAGGGGGGGGGGGGGAGGAGAGGTGCTATGCACGGTTAAATCACGGGAGCCCTATGCCATCCGCCACTGTAGACCAATGCTTACGATGTTCGGCTGCTGAACCGAAGTTTGCGAGTTAGAGGCAGGCAAAGTGCTCTAGGCCCCTGTACTGTACGGTGTCAAAGTTTTTTGATTGATTGATATGTGGGGTTTAACGTCCCAAAACCACCATATGATTATGAGAGACGCCGTAGTGGAGGGCTCCGGAAATTTTGACCACCTGGGGTTCTTTAACGTGCACCCAAATCTGAGCACACGGGCCTACAACATTTCCGCCTCCATCGGAAATGCAGCCGCCGCAGCCGGGATTCGAACCCGCGACCTGCGGGTCAGCAGTGAGTACCTTAGCCACTAGACCACCACCAAAGTTAAATAAAAGAAAACAAAAAAACGTACGCTAGATGGTCGAAATTCTCGGAGCCCTCTACGGCGTCCCTCTTAATCACATCGTGGCTTTGGGGACGTGAGTCCTCGCGTATTATAATTTTCAAGCCAGGAGCTGCGCAAGGCATCCCCCCCCCCCCCCTTATGCTTCTCAATTTAGGGAGGGACGAGGGAAGGGGTGATTAGGGCATATCCACTTAATGTGATCGAGGTTGGCGTTGATTGTGGAGTAATAGTAATGAGAAGAGGAGAGGTGGAGGGGTTTATGGTTGTATTGCAAAGATCGAACGATTTCTCTTTAGAAGCGCATAACAATTTTTGTTCTTTTTAAAGTGTTATCAAGCTTGTTTTGGAAGCTATTTCTGTTTGTAGATGTACTTCTGTAACGTTCTGTTTATACATGTATTTTCCTGTACGTACATATAGGAGGTGACCGAGAAAGTAAAGTATTTATTGAACATGCCCGGCGTAATTGGGGTTGGGCTACAAGCACACCGGCCTAGGTGGCAGCCTCGATATACTTTTTTTTTTTTTCATATTGCTTCTCGCAGTCCTTCTCGAATAAGGTCGCAGTGCTTCTAGAATACGGGCTAACTTTTTATGTTACGTGTCGGAGGGGGGGGGGGGCAAAAAGTTCCTGGCTTCGCCACCTTCCATTCACCATGAAAACATGAATGAACTATATAGAATGTTGTTAAGTGTTTAGAAAAAAATGTTTAACGATTTCGAGTACTTCGTGCTCAACTAGGGGAGAGCACTGAGCCGTCCCGCTAAAAGGATTCACGAAGTTAACACTGATCCGTACATTGTGCAAGCACATTGTGCATGAGACGTGTCTGATTTTCATAACGAGTTTTAATTTCAGACGGCACTCAAGATGCCAGAGGAACAAGCGCTTGTCACTATTTTTTTTTACCTTGCTGCAGGACAAAGTCCTCTTTCAGGGACATTCAACTCACTTCGTCATGAGCGAACTTATTTCATTTCATCCACTTTACTGCAATATTAACTCGAGTTGTTCATTATCTGAGCAAAAGATGTCATGAGATCACAAAAACAGCTGCTCCTGGCGCCGCAGTTGTCCACCACCGTCACCGCCGGTGCCCGTCTATAGCTTCTATCACGTGGAGTGCAAAAAATAATAAGAAGAAAAAAATATTGAGAGCAGAACAGAATTTAAATCCGGGCCCCACGTGACAACCATGTCCTCTTGTTCTTGTTCACTCTCTCTTGTGGCTCAAAACCCTTGGGGGGATTGGCTGGGAATTAAGCCACCTAATTCTCAGCCAATCCCCCCAAGGGTTGCACCGGCGTGGCTCAGTGGTTGAATGAGATTTCATAAGGACCGGGTCTTATGAAATCTTATTCAACCACAGAGCCACGCCGTTCGCTTTATTTTTGGTATTGCCACTTCTCGACACGTATCAAAACTCAAAACACAAAGTCTATATGAAAAAAAAAAAATCACCGGCGATTATGATACTGGCTAATGCGAATATTGAGCGCAGCTTTGTTCTGGAGCAAAGCCAACTGTGTTTCAAGTTCTGGCTTTTTGCAAGGTATCTACTCCGCTATTATTCAGAATTTTCGCGAAGTAGAATGGCACTCACTGCGCCATTATCTTCCTCTAGTCTATGGGGATAAGCGAGGCACATGCCACACGCATGTAAGGCCTTTTGTGCACCTTGTTGATGCTTCTTGTGACTCATGACGACGAACGACTATGGCTGAGCCTTTCCAGTCTATGGGAAGCATTAAATCCCACACGCGTTGCGTAATTAGCATCTTGCGATGACTGGTTGTTATTTCACTTTTCTGCTTGGCTATATTTCACAGGTATCCCGGCTGCGGCGGCTGCATTTCCGATGGAGGCGGAAATGTTGTAGGCCCGTGTGCTCAGATTTGGGTGCACGTTAAAGAACCCCAGGTGGTCTAAATTTCCGGAGCCCTCCACTACGGCGTCTCTCACAATCATATAGTGGTTTTGGGACGTTAAACCCCACATATCAATCAATCATATTTCACAGGTAAACACGATCCCTCGCCCGACATGGCGGCTGTGTGGGGTCTTTTTGTAAATGAGTTTTAAGCAACTGCGTCACTATGAACAGCGCGTAATATTACACAGTCGTGTAGCGGGTACGACGCTTTCCAAAGAAAGACGAATAATGGCATTGTGAATGCTTCCCTATACTTCACAAAAAAAAAATGATTTATGGGAAAGCAGGTACCTCGAAAGTGTGCTTGCTTCCAACAAATCAAGTTTACATGTGTAACATAGCAAATAAAATAACCACCGGGCGTCACACATAGCGAATGAGTCAACTAGTGGTTCGTTTAAAGCTTTTCAAGTCATTACTAAGGGCTGCTGCCATAATTCTCCATCAGCCACAGCGTTAACAAAGTGCTAACAGATCGAGTAAAGCGCTTTTCCACAAAACAACGGGATACTGGCATAGTGGGTGCTTCCAAATACTTACAAAAGTTATTATCATTTATTGTATAGTGGGATGGCAAGTGTATTCGTAGAAGCTGCCCCAAGAAAAGTTGCAAAAGGCTTTTGTGCCGCTCTTCTAGATTGCACGGTGACTGTGCTGTGGGTTCGGTGCTGGTGCATATTATTATTATTATTATTATTATTATTATTATTATTATTATTATTATTATTATTATTATTATTATTATTATTATTAAAAGTGTTAATGATCTTACTAAAACCAAGAGAAGTAGTGATGACTAAGAACGGAGTGTTCAGTCTGATAGTACCTGCTTGAGATTTGCACATTAACTAATTTATTAGGCTATATTTTTTCTTTTCAAAAATTATTTGAAGCATTTACTTCAATCTAGTGCTATCTTGTTCCCTTTGTGCCGTTCTGTTAGGCACAGGAGTACCTCGACTCACTCTATAGCGTTAAAATATTGACTAAATATTTCTTCGGCTTCCAACAGAACTTGCGCGAATTTTTTGTTTTTTCGTTTTGTGATGAAATATTATTTCGAAAAGCACTGAAAGATGTGGAAAGGGAGGCTGTACAGGACAGAACATACAGGGCACGACAGATCAGGACGGTGCAGGACAGGTCGTCGGCTATGCGGTGCGCTTCGGACTAATATTTGATAATTAGCGCGCATGAATTATCTTAATTCGCCAGCTTATTATCCTCCCGGTAGTTGCCATGCGTCCGAAAATCAATATCGCAAGAACGTCCCAGCTTTCATCAAAACACTTTATTCGACTCCTCCTTTTCAGCAGTAATGTCTCAACTGCGCACAGCAGATTTGTGGAATGAATATCATATAAACAACGTACGCACAATAGTAACGACAAAAGCAGTAGCCATTCGACAGCTCTAGCAGCTAAGTTCTCCCTTTTTACCATTTCTCACGATTTAGAGTCATTGTAGTGACAACAAAGACATTCAATAAACGACAATGTCAGAAAGTGCGAGCAACGTAAAGTGTCAAATGATGGAATGAAAATGTGACAGGAGTGAGCTTCTTTGACCTGTTCAGGTTAGATTTTATGACTTTTTTAGACAAACAGATAGAAACTATGGACGTAGAAGCTCGCCGGCGTGTCTGCTGTCGAGTACAGCTTTATAGGTGGCTGCGGCATTTCAACCTAGCTCATTGGCGGACGCACACAAGTCTGCACCAATGATCGCGCGTTCTAAGATGACGTCATAAGCCGACCGGTCTGTGCACGACCCCGCCGTATGGGTACTGTAGGCGCCAAACGAAACACGAACCACGGCAAGCGATGACAATGGTACAGTGCGCGCCATTCAGTTATCACCATTGACAGGCGCGCAACACCCCGGTTTGGTAGCATGTCCACAGTGATGACTGGTGGTGGTGGTAGTGATTAGAATGAAGAGGAAAAAGGCACCTAATTTCTGTCTGCCTTCAGGCGACACGGCGCAGTGCCTTATAGGGGAGGAGGGAAGGAGGGATAAAAAGAATAGAAGGAAAGTAGAAGCAGAAGAAGACAGCCAACGAGAGAAAAAAAGAAGGAGATAGGAAAGTGGGGTCCGGTCGAAGCAGTCCAAGGGCGGGGTGCCACAATGCGAGAGCTACACGGCGTCAGGAGACCGCGGAGGGCGAACCAGTCGGCGGGAGCTACGCTGAAGTCGGAGATCGCGAGGGCACAACCGTCCAGCTTGAAATCCTGCGAGCGAATCGTGATGACTGGACGGCGCGCTATATACAATTGCTATTGCTTGCCGCTCTTCGCGTTTTGTTTGACGAAGATAGTAGGTGAGTGGGACTATTTATTTAGTCGATAGGCAGTCGGCTGTCACGATTTCGTCATCTGGATAGGCGCATGGACAGGGGCGGGAGTGGGTATTTATACCCCTGTTACACGGGCCCGCTAACCTCAGTTATCACCTAAAAAGAAGGGAGCGGGGCGCATAGTCTGTCCCATGCATTGACCTAATAGGGAGAGGGGGGAGTGCTGCGACTAACTTTCACTTCCTAAACTTCCTCCCCCCTGAAGCGTGTTTGCGCACGCTTCTGGTCACCTGGGCGGGTTAAAGAGACACAATAGAATTTTTTTTTTCATAATACTGAAATTACTCTTTCACAATACCAATATCACCGCGCTTGCCACAATGCATCTAGACAACTATAGGAGCTACCCAAGCAGATTAGGACCGCATCCTTAGCACGTGGGAGTATACCCTGTATAGTGCAACGCACGCGATTTCACGCGTATCAGTAGGAACATGCCTTCACACAGTAAATAAAGGCAGTAGGCAATTGCTCGATTTGTAGGTTCAATAAAGCCTACCAAAATACCAGAGTGGTAGATAAGTTGAAGAACAAAAAAGAAAAAGACGGAACAAGAACGGTGACCACAGGCAACGCGTTTATGACGTCAACGGGGGTTTGGACAGGTACTGCCGCGCAATAGTAGCCCCATCCCCCTTCTGGTGCTCACGCGCTGCTACAGGCATGACCACATCTTATTAGGTGACTAGGGCCACCCCCTCCTCTAGCCATCTAAAAAGGTCTGCATCACACTTTTACTTCGTAGAGTTGGGGACACTGCTACGAACCTTCGCCCACCCCCTTCTGATGGAGTACCCTGCGCACGCCAGAACGTTGTCATCCCGTATGACCCACGCTAATCACGGTACACATATTTCGGCTGCTATAAAGAACGTTTCGGCTGTGATGACCGTATACAAAGTCAGCGCAAAGCGAGAGATGGACGCGCTGACGCACAGTAACGACGCCACGTTCAACATCGTCGGCAAATATGATGCATTTGATTACTGACTACAATGGCAAAGTATATAAAGAAAGAATGCAAGCATGACGAACTCAACTGTCGTCAGTACTCAAGTCAGAAAATAAAAAAAAACAAAAAAAACCATAAAACACCATGATATAGCTACGTCAATACCAGCCCAGAACTCTTCGAGCAAACCTGAACCAAGATTCACACCAGTCAAACGAAACATACATGTAAGCTTAAATATCTGTACATCATTATCTGATTGTTCACAGATCATATACCAGAGTTCCGCTTGGCTGCCGACCCGAAGGTCATGGGATCGAATTCCGGCCGCGGCAGTCGTATATTAGATGGAGGCAAAAATGCTTGAGTCCCACGTACTTGAGCTTAGGGGGACGTCAAAAATCCCAGATGGCCGAAATTCCGGGGGCCTTAAACTACGGCTTACTTTATTGTTTTTCTTGCGTGATTTCGGGAGATTCTGGCGCACAAAAAGGTCGCCGTCTACTAATTTTCACTTACGGGTGTCTAACACAGATCACGTATGGAAGTTCTGGGACGTTAAGACCGAAATATTATGGTAAAGAAGAGGTCAAATGACTAACCATAGCTTAGTGGCGTCATATGGTAAATTGCAAGCGGGTTTTTATCGTGCAGATACCTATGATAGCTGACGTCTTTCACTATAGTTTCCTGAAGATTCATCGAATTCAGCAAATATTTGTATGCGACCTGAGTAAATCATCTACAGCGATAGTGCTACACTCGATTGTGATGCGTCCTCTGCACTTTTTATGTGCTTTTCCCAGCCTCATAAATGTGGTCTTCTGTGAATGTTCGCGAATGGTATCCCAATATATTTATTTTAAACAGCTGACCTCCGTGCTTAAACCGACTTGCCAACCGAGAACAACCGATAATCGAGGTCTGCATCTCTTGCTATTCCTTTCATCTTCATTGATGGAGACAGCTAAATACAGCTATCGCATAGTATAGTACGCAACGCCATAAATCGCCTCTTTATTTTATTTGCCTGTTAGTACCATCTTGGCGCGGGACTCACTCATGATGCGCTGCGTCCAAGTATGTGTTAGCAACTTCGGCTACGACAACAATTAAATCGTAATTGTGGGCATTAGTCATTGCGATGGAGATGTGCCACCAAGCGTCAGCGTAGGTGAATTGACGTCAAATGGTGCTATAGCTGCCAAACACCAATATACACGGTACAAGCTCTCACATGTTGTTACTCAATAAGCACTATACTTATGCGAAGACAAGACAGATTTCACTTTCGCGTTATACCAACTCCTATGACGGAGGGATCAGCCGTGTTTTATTTTTTTTTTCTTCTAGATATCGCACGAAGATCTACCAAGACCTTCAAGACCCGCCTTGAGAAGAGACTATTCGTCACATACGGTGAAGGTTTGCTCGAATTCAGTTCTGGGCGTGGCATGCGATGAGATGTGTACTCCAAGAGCTATATACAAAAATTGTCACGCTAACTGTTCCTCATTTCATGGACGAGCGAAGCTACAAACACTTAGATAGTGCACCTTCACATGTAAAGGCGCACGCCTAATCCGCTCTTGGCGCATTCGTGTACGCGCGACTCGTCGTCGTATCCTTCGTACGGTGGCGGTTTCGGCAAGTAGTCGAGCAAAATGGGTGTCATTCTCTTGTGGAGTGGCAGTTCATCGATATGCACCTGCGGAACCTGGGACGCCACTGACGGCAGGGTCTCCTCCTGGCGCGACTCGCGCTCCTGGAGCTCTCGGTAGTAGGACACGCTCAGCAACAGGAAGTACGTCTGCGAAAAAAATTTGGTAAAATGATAGATGGTTGATGGAATTACATACACTACGGAACATACACATACGCATGCCCGTTAAGTTCCGTGCGTCTATCCCAGCCGCGGCGGCCACCTTTACGAGAGAGGGATATTGCTAGATGCCAGTGTGTTTAGATTCAGGCGCACGTCCAAAAGCGACGGTGGTTGAAATTTCTGAAGCTTTGCACTCCTGTCTCTCATAATAATCACGAGGTTATGGGGCCTGAACCCCCAGAAATTATTATTATTATTATTATTATTATTATTATTATTATTATTATTATTATTATTATTATTATTATTATTATTATTATTATTATTATTATTATTATTAGTGTCATTGCTTATACTGTTTCATTTCTGAGTGAGCCTGCACAATGACCTCCTGGTTGTTCCTGGGCACGTTAAACAATGACTGATTGAATGATTGATTGATTATGTCAGCGCGTTCATTTTTTATACCCGTAAACCTTGCTTTCCTGCAATAATATGATGCCTGAGAAGAAGCTTTCTTTGTGTGGCGTTTTTCCTTTTACAAGTCATCATCAGTATGTCGGCAACGTTTAGTTGGCAGGTATATACTTAAACACATTTACGTTTGCGGTAATCTCGCGATAACCATAATTATGTTAATGACCTATGAAAGAAACAAGCTTTATCGAAGAGCACAACCATGCTGCCCAGGCATATTCTTTGAGACACTATGTTAGCGTCTTCGTAACATGTCGATTACAAAAAAGAATTTGAATATCAAAGTTAAATCTCGGTTTATTTTCCCACCTACTTCCCAACGCGGTCCAGGTGTGCCATATCCACCAAACAGGCGTCGCTTGCTTTAAAATTCATTTCTAGAATTTTAGGTTTCGTGACTAAGAAGTGTGTTTTCAAACGCGCCGAGATTCGTCTTTAGCTCTTTTGAATACGGTAATGCTGAGTTCTGCGGGTAAAAGTGTCGTAAAAAAAGGCCAGCTAGAGCAAACGCTGCACTTAAGAAAGCCACTGAAGGTTCGTGCGGGGACCTTTGGACGGTGTCGGCGCTCACAGTTTGCTTAAGCGTTTTTTTTTTTTTCAGAGTTTGCCTAGCGATTAGAGTGACATCTTTGATTGTAACTATCGCAAACACAGCTGCAGTGGCTTCTTTCTTTGGTGGTTCTTCACGAGAGAAAGCGAGAGACGCAACAGGAAAGACGTACCCTTGTCAAGATGACGAAAAATATGGGTATTAGGGTGGTGATGGGTAACGGTATCTGAAACAAGACGACACAACGATGTCAGAGAAACAAACGCCGGAAAAAAATGCACAGTCGCGCGAAAGCTGTAAGATCACATTATGAACCGCGGTCAATTTATTCGAAGTGAATGAAAACACACTTCGGAGTTAGACTTACAGAGTGGAATCGTTGGCTGGAGAGCATGATAAGCGCTGACATGAGAGCTGGAGATACGATGCCGCAAGTGGTGAGTCCTATGAACGGCAACAGGAGCCAGCGACTTTCCTGCGAGATGTAGGCCGGAGACGGGGGCATGATTAACAACCAAGAGTGTCGTCCTGAGGTGTCTTTGTGTGCCTTGTAAGATCATGCGCAGGTAATACTATTTTACTGTGTTATTTCGATGAAAGTTTCTGCTGGAAGTTAGCGCTCGTGTTGTGTCCACCCTTTCTTGAGAAATAGTGTTAATCCGGTCGGCTACCCTGCATGCAGAGTGGGGATGTGAAGGTAGGTAGGTAGGTAGGTAGGTAGGTAGGTAGGTAGGTAGGTAGGTAGGTAGGTAGGTAGGTATAGATAGATAGATAGATAGATAGATAGACAGATAGATAGATAGATAGATAGATAGATAGATAGATAGATAGATAGATAGATAGATAGATAGATAGATAGATAGATAGATAGATAGATCATAATTTTATTGACTTTGTTTTGCGTGTGTTTTCTGTTTTGGAAAAAAAAATACCGAAATATGACTTTTCCTGAAACTCTGACAAGATCCGGCCGATAGCATGGCATCACAAACAGAGCTACTTCGCAACGAAAAAAAAAAACGGCTGTTTTATATACTTGAGAACTTACAGCGTTTCCTCACCAGTATTTCTAGGGCGCACTCCCTTTTACACTTAGGCGCAGAGAACAATATAAATGGTCTTGTCAATGAAATGTCTTGAAGTGTTCATTTTTGCAGGTGTGTCAGATTGAGTGCAGTGTTTGCTTTGACCAAGAAGGCCAGATTAGTGAGGCGGGTGTGATAAGCCGCACAGTTGACACACCAGAGTGGTTGCCTTAATCGCCAGCCAGGATGACATCATCTCGAAGAGCAGGATCAGGCCGAACCCCAGCATGGCCATGAACTCCACGACTGGCGAGGCAGCTGCAAGGAGCGTGACAACACACAGGGCCATGACAAGCTCGAAGTCGTTTCTTGACGCACACGTGGTGACAAAACGTTGAAGGGGTACTGACACTAATTTTCTTAGGCGAGTGTATTCTGCCGTACAAAGTTCCCGCACACAGATACATCTCTGCGCAAACGTGAAGCTCAGTAGATGCTGAAAAAATATTTTATAACATCAAAGTGCATTTTTGCGGAGCGCACATACTGAGGTCAACACTAGCGTGACGTCAGGCTATAGCGCGAATTCTGGTAACTGCACGCACCAATACGGCTAGCTGTGATGACGTCAGGCACCAGAACATTCACAATGACCTCTTGCACGTCACCAAAATATTCAAAATGGCCGCCTGGACGTAACCAACAGGACCAGGGACGAAGCAGCTGTGCTAATGTCACGATATCTTGAACGAGCACGTGATAGAAGCTCATATTGTAGAAACCAAGACTAGCTTTAAAAAAAAAACGTACCGTAATTAACTTTTGAGTATGCACGCATGCTTGGACTTTCATTTGAAAAAAAAAAACAGCGAAAAAGTCTGCGTCAGTACCTATTCTAAAGCGAATCAATAAATGTACTATACTGCATACTGTATATTACTGCTGCCAGATTAATCTTTTTATGTCATGTACCTTCATTTGTGACAGCAGATATAAATGCAAGCGAAGGCACTAGAAGGCCAGTACTTCGCTAGTTGTTTCCATGTTATTGTGTCGATAGGAATTATCATATATCTTAGCTGATTTCTGCGGTAAGATACTCTGAACTTATTAGGAAACATCATTTTCACTGGTATAGCGCACCACGACAAGGACACACACAAAGGACACACACACATAGCGCTGTGCGTGTGTGCATCTCTCCTTTGTGCGTGTCCTTGTCGTGGTGCGCTATACCAGTGAAAATGATGAATCTTAACCAACTAGCCCGGCAACGTGCCTTAGCAAAGTTATTAGGAAAGTAAAAAAAATATATTATTGTGGTGCTGTCGTATAGAAAAGTGACCTAATTTAAAGAACAGAAACCTGGTACCTACTCAGAAATCAGTAGAAGTGCACAAGTCTAATTAGCAATTTCATACTTTAATAAAGATAAGACAACCCTAGTCGACACACTATCCTTCATTTAACCAACAACATTGAGCGCTAACCAGTCCTGGTAGAAAAACGTGCTTTTTATATATAAGTGCAGCTTAAACAGTTTAAGGTTGTCAAAATGCACCCGGGTACCTTCTTTGAGGTATCCTCCATCAATTTTTCTGTTTCTTAACTACCCACGCACATCAAAGTTTAGTTCCGAGTCGCTGCAGCGCTATGGTTAATATCAACATCAGACAATCTAGCCCGTCTATAGTCATGTATCCCTGAACTTAAGATTTTCGCAACTGGGTTGCGGTAAAATGCCGGAGCGGTACATCAAGCATCCCAAGTCCTCTAGTTCTTTCCAAGCCTTTTATCTGGCCCGCGTTTCTCCTCTCCCTTCAATTGCGCTCCTTAAAAAAAATTCTATTTCTCTTAGGAGCGAAGGCACCCTTCAAGTACTATGAGTTAAAACTTCATCTACTTCTCACAGCTACACGTCTGAATCACTGCAGCGAAAGCACAGGCTTGCCGGCATGTGCATGCCAGCGCCGTTCTTAACCGCGTCCTCGGCTGCACGCTGTATTCAAAATGACCTCAACCTGATTCGGCGACCGCACGTATATTTCCGAGTATTTCCCAGTTCGTAGTTAATTTATCTCGGGGAAGCGTACAGCTCCGCGTACTACTGCAAACAAACAAGCAAAAAAAAAACGGGGGGGGGGGGGGGGGATAGAGAAAGGGCGTTTGCGGTGCATCGCCGTGACCATATGAGTTTTACACTGCGGCGCGCAAGTGGCAAAAAAAAAAGATGAAGAGAAAAGAAAACAAAAGTGGGTCAGACACTCACGTGCCACGTCGAATCCCAGGGACCTGTTGATAGACTCGAGAAAGCCATGCTGTCGGTAAAGCGACACCATGTAGGTGACGAACAGCAGGCTTGTCGAGAACTGAAATGAAGCGAACAGAGAGCATAGAGTGGAGAAGAATAATTGATAGTTGTAAATAGAATAAATAAGAGAAAAGAAAAGGTTGGCAGATCAACAGTTCAGGATAACCCCATACGTGGGAACAGGATGGACGAGACGGACGAGAACCGGCGCATTCAGCATGGTATGGCCGATGGCTGGACGAGACGGTAACAATTACTTTAAGGAGAACGCCTTAGATGTTTCATCCGACGCAAAAACGGACCAGCGTCCCGCGTCGGCGTCTCCCGTCGACAACGTCAACACGAGCGGTGCAAAAAAAAAAAAATCATCGTCACGCGATGACGCCATCATGCGATGTCATCACGACGGCAAAATTATATCACCCAAATCTGTTACGTCAATATGACGTGACGTCAAGTGACGTACATGATAGTGTAGCTTAATCAGAGGACGGATGATCACGCACGGAGGCAGTGCGAAAATCACACGAGGTGTCTCCGATTCCGGAGGCTTTGCTAAACCACATCAAGCACAAAAAGCTTTTAAAGGGTGGCAATGCATCGAGGATGGCATGGTCAATACATTGGTCGAAAAGAAACAGAAAATAGCTTTTGCCTTCGAGTTGTCTTGGGTGAATGCGTACGGTGAAGTTTTAAAAACTCTTAGGCCCGTATTCAGAAACCAACCTTGACCTTACCTCACGTTTTCTTCCTCAAGACCTCACCCTCTACATGCGTTATAAGGGCACAAAATGGTTACAAGGTAAACGATAACAACACGACTGGTTGACGAATACTGACCTACTTTGTTCATCAAGTGCAACAGAGGTTTAAAACCGAGAAGGAAAACTCGAGGTAAGCAAAAATTTGGTTTGTGAATATGAGCTTTAGAGATTTTATGCGTTCGCCTGGAGCACCTGGAAAGTGCAAGCCATCTATTTCGCTCTTCTCAGTCGAATTTGATCCTCCCTCGCCCACCTCTGAAAGCTTTTTATAAATATTATGTGGTTCCAAAAAGCCTCGAGTATCTCCTTCTGGATCTCTTTTTTGAGCCGATTAATTTCGCGGACGCTCTGCTCAAACGGAAGCACGAAGTAGAAAAGTAGGTGTGTAAATGTGTTGATTAAGGTGGATGTAGGATGTTATTACACATACATTCATTTTCAACGTGCCAATTCAAAGCCTTCAACTTAAGCTTGTAACTTACTAAACATTTTAGGAGGACACCGATGTCTTGCTTGGTCGTCATCATGTTCCTGGTTATTTAATCGAATATTCAATAAGGAAATATTTATTTGAAGGGTTTTTTTTTTGTCCTCGGAGGGACACAGCACCTCACGTATTATAAACTGCCCGTTTCTGTTTGACAGACGTGTGGACGATGGTTAAATATAGCCATGAAGAAGTGTTAAGGTGGGTATGGACAAAAACACGGTAACCAACACCACACAACAGCGCGTTGTTGCATCGCCCCAATGATTAGGCCACCGCGTAACGAGTTGGTAGCTCGCGCGTAGTAGGTTTGGTGGGGCGCGGGTTCAAATCCCAAGTAAACATTTGTCTTCATTGCAACGTATGTTCGTCATGGTACATAGATGTGCCGAAGTATATGAGCCCTTATTACTGGAATGTTATGAAACCTTTGTTTTCTGTACATCATGTTAACAAACTTTTTCTGGATAGCCTCGGCAATCGCATTGTCAACCAGCAATGAATATGTGACGAATTACCTCAGCTACTTGTGAAAAAAGAGAGATTACAGGTAAACGAAATACTATGAAGTTAACATGGCTGCATGCGGTTGGATATGCACTTCACCGATTGAATATGAAATGACAGTAATCCCGTTAACCAGTGTATCATGGCTGTAGTTCAATTAATAGAGCGACTGATCCGAAAAGGTGTTAGTCCCGGCTTCGATCCCTGGACTATGACAACTCTTTCGTAAGCCAAAAAGCTCTCTCTCTCTCTCTATCTCTGAGAAAATTCCGTGAGGATTTCCTTTACCCATGAGCTACAAGCTGGTTTTTGTATTTTTTTTTATTTAGTAAAGCTGCTATATGCGCATCGAGATTGGTTTTCCAGTGAGCATAATCGGCTGCCAGCGGCGCCGTTGTTAGTGCAAATCCGTCGCTTCGCCCTGAACAGCTGCACGTGACACGAGTCACACGAGCGAACTCGGCCGGGGTCATTGAACTCGGCCGGGATCACTGAAAGGCTCGTTCGTTCCCATGACATCGGAAATGAGGTAAACGCCTCGCCTTCAGAAGCCACATGTTCTCCATCTCTGATTGTCCTCCTGATTGAATGCGTTAGGTAATGGCTTTAGGAGCGTACAATTGAGTTACGTACAAATAATAATAATTGTCGGGATTTCACGCCGAAAAACCACGACACGATTACCAGGGATGCCACGGAGGTATCCGGAAATTTTGGCCACCTGGGTTTTTAACGTAGATGGGCTTCTGGGACTTCGTCTTCATCTAAATGCGGTCGCCGCGGCCGGTATTCGATCCCGCGACCTTCGGGACAGCAGCTGAGCACCATTACCACTACATAGACAACCACAGCGAGCTAAGGGAAACAGAAAGAGAGAGAGAATGAGAGAGAGAGAGAAAGACGAAGAGGAAGGTGGGGAGGTTAAGCAGATATTACCACCCCATTTGCAACCCAGTAATTATGGGTGGGTGGGAGAGGGGAGTATGGGTATGAAAGAAGGTGTAGAGATGTAAAGAAAAAAAGAAAAGGGAAGAGAAAAACGCACTACACAGGATAAGGTTTTGTACAAATGTTAACAGGACATCTCACTCGGAAAATAACAAAAAAAATAGTTGCTTCAACAGCTGTCAGTATAGATGACCAAGCGCTGCATTCCAAGAACATTTTAGCAAAAAAAAAAAAAACATAAAATCAGAAAGACTGCACATGCATTGCAACCCAGGGGTTTCAAACATGTGGCCCTCGGACGTTTGGCTAGTGACCCGTAGCTTGGTAAAGTATAAAATGTTTGACTTCGCTTAATAGTGATCGCACTATTACAATTAATTGCGATTAATAATAACGAATAATAACGCTTTATTAGAGTAAACTACAGAGACTGGGACTCGTCTCAAGCATCCTTATTTTTGTGACGCGTCCCGTGTAGGTTGCCACCTATTGAAACATAACAATGGAACGACAGTCTATATCTTTCAGAATCGGGCGTCCAGATATTAGTCATTATGGAAGTCGGTATCGATATGTTTCTCGAATCCTGACGCAAAATCCCCATCAGAAGTTATCCATACATAAGATATGACAAACGCGTAATTTTAAATGGCGGCGTAAAGTAATAGTTTCCCCCCGCCCCTCATTCTCCATATTTCCACCTACTTCACTGTCCCTGCATGCCCTTGCGGGCCCAAATTTTGTTACTCCAGCACACTATAGCTGAGAGGTGAGTTTGAGACTCCTGTATTAGACTTACTGTTACTTCGTACTATCTTCTTTCCTACATTCATTCTTTCTTTTTTCTTCATCATATAACAGGGTACCAAACCAGATACATCAATCTCGTTAACCATCCTGTCTTTCTCATATTCTCTTTCTCCTATTCTTTGTCTATGTTGCTTAAAAGAAACGCGAAATAACGCGATAGTTATCCGAGGAACATTTGTGCCTCTGTATAATATGGTCTATGAGTTATTAAATGCTTTCGGCATTACACCGCACCATATTCTCATTTGTCCTATTGTTGACATTATGGACATTCGTTGGCGCTTCTGTGGCGTGGCTCCTCCCAGCAGCATACCCGCTGCCTTATTTCTTTCTGTTTAACACACCTTGAGTGCAAGGAACATTTTCCTCATGTTCTTATTTTGCCATATATTTTCCCTTACCAAATACACTTTCGTCTTTTTTTCCAGCGTATTCACCCACACACCGTTTTTTTCACAAGCATATAATAACACTTTACGCAGCGCAAGTGTGCAGTGAGGTGAAGTTTAACACTGGAGAAAGCAAAGGAAACGTTGGACGTAGAGTATTGATATAGCGAGCCGAACGTTTATGTGAAAGGCACATGACTTGATCACCTTGTTACGTACGTAATAACAATACTATTGGTAGCCCACAAGCACTCACCAGTGTGATGGTAGCTGCATAGCGAGTGCCCTTCTGAAGGGAGCAATTGAGGAGGCCCGTATTGGGAGTCATCTTTCTTTCTTCAAACTGAAACGATGAAAGAAAGATCGTTAAGTAGCCACACGCATGAATAAACTGCACTTAATCTTTGCAGATATAAAATAAAGTTCTTTTGGTGCAGTTAGAACGGCTAGATTTTGCTATCAGTGTTCCTTGCCAGCACTCAAATTGTCGGAAAGCAGCCGGAGAGGATGCTACAGTCAAGTACGACGATACACTTCATACCTGATTGTACTTGCTGCGATATACATGTCAGAGATATTCCAATTGCATGAAATATCAATGTTCAAGCATATATAACCAAATGACGAGTTGTAATGTAGCACCTAACATAAACTGAGGTCTGGCCAAAAGGCACCAGGGAAAAAAAAAACGGAGATGCGTACGTGGGACCCCGTCACAGGGACGCCATATGTGATAAGCTGGAGGGGACTAGATGAAAAGGTAATTGTTTTCCATAATGTTGACATGCGCGCGCAGGCTTAAAGTCGGAACACTCTCATATGTTCTACTGCAAGTCAGCCTCCGCACTAAGTATTGCCATCAGCTATGTCTGGTCGGACAACACTTTTTTCAAAACAACTACTGCAATTCACACGCAATACAGGCATTACAGCGGGTATTACATGCATGCATGCAAAGATGGTGAATATTAAGGCTCGTTTTTTTTTTTGTTAAGCACAACCTTCATAAAGAACAATACACAGCGAAACCAGGGGTGGTATAAGAACCGTTATTTGTAATCTTTCGATAAACTGAATTTTAGTGATCATGACATAGATATGAAGAACTTGAAGCGGACGAAGAAATCTATATACTTGTCGCCGCAGTGACCAAACCTACAACCTTCGTCGAGCATTAGGTACATTATCTGAACGTCTCTGCTTTGGTCCATGCCGGCAGCAATTCGTCTTTTCGTTCACTCTTATCGTCTTCATACTTAACACCACAATTCTTAGAACACTGTTGAAAAAAATGTTACAAATAATGTTCTCTATACCTTCCTTGGCTTCGAAGTCCCTTGATTTTCATTAAACGTACATATATAAATTGTGCATCAAGGGCCAGTACTTATCAAAACAAAAAAGAAGTATTCCAGAACGGCACGCACGCACACTGCTGAGGAGGCGGTCGTACTTGTACTTTGGGGAACGTGGTGAAACTTCAGACGATGTGGCAAGCGAAACCAATGTGCACTATGGACGGGCAATGAAACTTCAGTGAGCGGTCGCTGCGCCCCGATTGCGTTTGTCGCTTTAAATGCGCGCAGCCGCGGCCACTTGTGCAGGTGCCGAGATGCAGCTGCCACCGGCGTCAGAGGCGAGAGAGCCACGCGCTGCGACGGAGCACACGCGGAGTGACGTGCAAAAAAGCTGGCGGCCGCGATTCAGTCTGCGGTCTTATTTGAAGCTGAACTATATCTATACATCCCTAGGGGTATGGGTGATAAAATTGTAAGTTGCCTTTGAGAGAAGAAGAAACACGGCAAAGCTGGAAAGCGAGGGGAAAACAGACAGGCATGCATACCTGATGGATAAGCGTCGTTTTGCTATACCCTATACCGGGAGGTAAGGAAAAAATGGTAAATAGAAAAAAAAAGAACGAGAAATTTCACTCTCGAGGAGGATGAACAAAGAAGCAGTTTAGCACTCGAGAAAGGGGTGACAGAATTTTGAAGCCGCAGGTGAAAACACTCCTTTCAAGGGCAACACTTTGATCTGGCACAATTCGTTTCTGGGACACGAACTCAGACGTGAAGTACCCGCTCTGTGGCGAGACATCAGATGTCTTTCAGATGGTGTAGAAATTCACCCAAAATATCTCTCCCCTCCACTTTCACCACACACCATGCGAGAGGCACGGGAGATCACTATCCGCGACTGCTCTGGGCAGGGCCGGATCCGGCCAATCAATTTAGGGCGGGCGACCGCCTGAAAAAACACCAGAGAGGGGTGTGTGTACGTGACTTCCTTTTGTTCATACGCTTATACTAACAAAAAAAACCTCTTGATATCGAAAATACTGTCAGTGTGTGCTCACAGTGGTTGCACTCATTTGTCCTAGTGGTGATAGGGAGTGGACTACGAGCACTGAAGTGAGGGCGGGGGGGAGTTTGCTGACACAGACTTGAGGGGGGCAAGTGTCCCCCCCCCTCCCCTATGGATCTGCAGCTGGCTCCGGACTGAAAGACCAACAGGCCCTAGTATCATAGGGTGAGAGCGGCGGCTGAGTATTGCGGTGTCCCGGACTAAGGACACCAACCATCAGGGGCCACCGCTATCAGCCCCGAAACCTAGCTATTTCAATTAAATAAACTTTGTTCTCTCTCCCTTTCTTCTGAAAGTCATTGTCGAAGTTAGCATATAGTCGTTCGGCGTTTTCTATTTTAGCAGCTTTGTATACTTGCATCTTTTTGCCATATATTGTCCGTTTCGCGACATGCGTTGTCTTGGCTCGCTTGCCACACGCGCATTACATTTCATGCAAGACCTTATTTGGTGCTTGCCGCCACACAGCCACGCGTCTGCTTGGAAATAGAGCGAAAATAACTTCCTCATGCTTGGAAATGCGGTGAAAATACTTCCCATGCTTATGGAACACACGCGTCCTGTGTACAGGCTTTACAGTACAACATGTAATATCACTGTTAATAATGCGTGGTACAAGCGTACATTGCCATCGGGCGCCAGAACGTGTGATTATCATAACAACTTCGTGATTTAAAGCTGGCCACCCGTTACAAAAGACAAACACGTTACTTCGCGTATTCAAAAAAATACATTTCACGCGTACAATTGCCCGTGGTCTCATGCATGCTACCCATAACACAAGATGCAGCCGTATGTGAAGGCGTAATTGACACGAGCCACTTTGAACTTTATGAATTACATTGTAGTAATTCATAATTTCAACTTCTCGAGTAACATCATAAAATAAACAGTATGCACTAAGTGGATGAACTACGCACTAGGGACAGGATATCGTTATCGGGTTCAGCTCTTGAAGGCGAAGCTTAAGGATTCCCCAAATATTTTTAATCTCACATTTCTTTTATTTTTCGAACTTTTCTCTTTTATTCTTGATGCGTAAACATGCCATTCGTAACCTCAAGAATCAGGGGCCACATTCACAAAACTTGTCTTTCGTAAGAGCGTTTTTTTTTTTTCATTGGTCTTCCAGCTTCGCTAATGATATGACCCACATCGTGAATGGCTGAAATATTACCTTACAGAAAAAGTTTTGTCATCATGACGTCATCGTTTTACGTCATAATGACATCACAGAAGGCAGTTCTCTCTTCCCACGCCAATCTAACAAAGAAAAACAGGCGCTGAGAATTCTTCTTCCTTCAATCAATAGCAATCGTCTCGTTCTGGCAACCTTCATGCCTTCAGGCAGTAAGCGAGGGATTATGGGTCAGTTGCTAATTCGTAAAAACATTCAGCCGCTAAGTGGCACCAGCAGGCCGAAAAAAAGTGTTCCACACTTGCTGTCATAGTAACGAGAGGTGCTGATTAACTCACCCAGATTTAAATGCGCAGATATACCGCATTTACTCGAACGTAAGGCAAGCTCCTCCCTTCCTCCTTAGGTTTTGCTACCTAAAGACGACCCTCGCGCTACAATACAACACCGAAATGCCTTTTTTTTTTCTTGCTTTCTGGATGCACTAAAACGTCACTCCTCACGCTCTAATTGCAGTCGCGTTACAATCGTGCCAATACGGTACCCGATGAGGTGGACAGGAGAATGACCGTTGCATCTAAGTTCGTAGATCATCGGACGCGTTATTCGAATGTTGCAAGTTCGGTGTCTGCCGATGGCAAGTTGTCTTTTCATCCACTTTTCGTTCTCGCTTATTTCACAGTTATTGCAACGGATATTGCTATATTTTCCTTGGCTAGGTGGTCCACTAATTTTCATTAATCTCGCTTAGAAAAGGTCACACATAGTTGTACACAGCTGTTTCGCTTGTCTTGTTTCGCTCCGGGTCACTGCACCGTGAGCAACCTTAGGCCTCTTTCATCTTAAAAAAATGCCCACGAGAAATAACTGAAGTGAACACCGACGAGCTCGAGCGCAGAGTGCTGACGTTTATTCGCACTTATTAACACGTCACTTGGTGAACTCAACTATGGGAGTCAACGCTCGCTTGGTAGGGCACTTCGTGTTGATAAATTATATTGAGAGTCAACGTTCTGTGCGCGCGTGTGTGTTCGCCTCCTGTCCGGCTTTGTTGTTCCTTCCACCCCGTTCGCTTCAGAATATGTATATATATATATATATATATATATATATATATATATATATATATATATATATATATATATATATATATATATATATATAAATGTGCATCCAATGTGCATCTTAGCGTAAATAAACAGCGTCGGTCTGTACTGCAATTAATAAATGACCTATCTAAAATTGGTCTTGTCGGAAGGTTATAATGAAAGAATATATCGCGTACGAAACGCTTGAGAAACCTGGTACCTAAGTTGTAAATAGATTTACCATGTGCACTTGTTCACTACTTCTCTTTTCTTCATATCTCTTTCTCTCTCTCTCTCTCTCTCTCTCTCTCATATTAAATGAGTGATAGCCACTACTTCCGTGCAATGCTAATGCGAGAAGCCGGTTAAACAAGTTTCTCAAATATCTGTCCTCATTTCGGACTTATTCTCCCCAAATTGTTAGTGTAAAAGAAACATTGCTAAATAATTGTGTACGCGATGCCGAATTATAACACCGAGTTCTAGACTCCTTAAATCTGATCGTAGCTATGGTAAAAGAGGAGGCGTAATTACTTTTATCCACATTTATCCACTCTCACCTCCATCTTTCAGTTATTAAAACTGCAGTTGGTATTTAATACATATGGTATAAAGTATACCATCTTACCTTCCAGTGTCTCGTATAATTCATTTAGATTTAATGGTCTAAATAGTCGTGATTAACTTGAAGTTTCAAAGATATTTATTTAGCTTTTACTTTAGGTCAGTTTTTATCGTGTATGAACTTGAGAT